TCTGGCCATAGGAAACCTACTAAAATTATTCTCATAATTTTCCAAGTAATCTTTTAATTTATATAATTAAAATGGCCAAAATGACCACCTTAGCTTGAAAATTAAGGTTAGAAGCATAGAGATGTCCTCTGACGTTGGAAAAATCAGAGGTCATAGTCTCTGTCATGAGGAACCAACCCTCAAAATTTCAAGCCACGTCATGAGGAACAAACCTTCAAAATTTCAAGCAATGGTGAGCAATGTTTGATCATAATGAGTTAAAATATTTCAAAGGGTATTTAATTCATTAAAAATCAGGGAATAAGAAAATAATTTTTATTTTTAGTCCACATTATTCTCCTCTGTTCACCGAGCAAGAGGGTATTTTTTTTATTTTTATAATTTTTCTAGAGAAAAATATGGATTTTTGAAGATAAGGCATTTAAAATAATTCAAAAAATCCATATTTTTCTACTAATCCACACGGCACCAACTCATCCTACGAAGGCTCCAAACTCATACGCGATGCGCTCCCATTTGTTGCGCTTTCTACCTAGGCATGTCATACGGCCCACAGTTCACACACCTCTAGTCTGTCCGGCTCGATCTCCTACATTCATTGGATACAAGCGCAATCAGACGACATCCTTTCATCGTCCCCAAGTGACCTAACTAGTAAGCTATTCACACTAAAACCTTAAGATCTTTACCTAGACTCAACCAAATCACATGGGGTTTGTTCTAGATCTTCATCTAGTCAAGACGAACACATCTATACAGTTAATTAAGTATTAAATCAAGTCATTACAAATAAAGAGTTAAAATAAGCTTGGGTTAGGGTTAGAGCTCAATACCTTTGTCTGAGAGGGGTGGCCTCAATCAGATGTTTGTGGTATCTTTGATTGAGTCCAACGAACCTCCAGATGAAGTTTCAAGTCCTGGTGAATTGTCTAGGCTAGGTGGATTTCACGTGTTGGTCTAGAGCTATCCTAGAGGCTGGGTGTGGGGGGGGTTGGTGATGGAGAATCAACTTCTCTTGCTTTAGCGATTGTGTGTGCACAATTAATTTGAGTTTGGTTGACTGTGGAGAGATGTCCTCATCTAAGCTGAAAGTTTGAGCTCAAAATTGGGCTCTCACAGTGGGTAATCAGAGAGGGAAGTAGTTGGATTGAGCTTAGGGATGCTTGGAGAGTCTCTGGTGAGATTTTGACAGAGCTTTCCCAAAGATTTTGAACACCTCTCGTTTGGCCATGGAGGGGGTTGATTAAATAGAAGTGCTTGGGCTGGCCACCAGGGCCAATTGATGGGTGCAAAGAGTTGCTTAGGTAGAGGGTTGAGGAGCTCTGAAGAGAAATTAGGATGAGCTGGCCTCTAGGGTTGAAATTGGGTTTGATTTAGGGGTGGTGGCTCACGGTTTTGGCATTTTACGGCGAGTAGGGTGGTTGGCCAGAGCACGAGAGGTGGTCAGGTGAGCCAGAGAGAGCGTTAATTATGATTTACCCCTAATGGTTAATGATGATAAAAGAGATTTCTTGGTTAACACACAAAAATGGGATGAAATCTCTTAATTTAGGGACCCATTGATCCATAGCTCACTTAGGTGAATTTAGGGTGGTTCAGCCTGGTCCAAAGGAGGTGCTTAGTGACTATGGGGGTCCATGGTTGACCAATATGGTTTGATTAAGTCAATTTAGGTGAAGGGGTTCAATTTGGGTCAAAATGGCTAGAAGTTGGGTTTGGGTTAGGCTAGCCATGACGTTGAGCTCAATTTATTAATCAATTTGGTGTATATATATATATATATATAATATATATATTACTTGGCCCTGACACCTTTTGCAGTGGGTACACAAGATTCATCAGATGGCCTCCAATATTAACATAAGATACCTTTTCATTCATAGAGAAGGCAGTAGACTTGCCAATTGGTAATATATTTTGTTTCTCTTAGTACTAAGATACCTCTTATTACCAACGTTACTTCTCCCCTATTTTGTTTCTCTTATATGGGGACCTACTTGGCCTCCCTTATTGTAAACTTTTGTAACCCTTTTATTTTGAATGCATTTTTTCACCCCTGACGGTACTCACTATACCTTCAAGGTGAAGCTTCCTTTTATATATATATATA